TTTAATTATTTATAATTATTTATAATTATTTATAATTATTAATAATTAATTATATTTGAATATTTTATATTTATATTTATTCAGAATTATTTATAAATAATCAAGTTATTTTAAATTATTTATAATTATTCATAATTATATATAATTATATTTAATTATTTATAATTTTTAATTTAATATATATTTTAATTAATATATATTTTTTTTAAATAAAATATAATTTATATGTATCCCGTTGTTTTCCACATGAATCTTCCCCCCTTTCCCTTTATATATTTCCATCGAATATATGAAGCGTGGGGGAATAGGTGATCAAACCCGGCGACGGAAAAAGGATTGAAAAAGATATCAAAATAATTTATATATTATTAGTTTTGATTAAATGAAATATGGGGTGGTTTTTTCTGTACCAATACAAAATAATTTTTTTGGGAAATCCCAAAAATATATTCTTCTGGGAAGCAAACTACTATTAGGAACTATTAATTTATTGCAAATTAAAAATCTTAAAATCTATAACATATAGGGGGAACCAACCTATTTATTGCAATAATCTGGATAAAATAAAATAAAATATAAAATAATTTCTGGAAAATATTGGAAATATATAAAAATAAGACAATGTTATATTATTTCAGCCTCAATATAGCCCAATATAGGCCGTTCAAAATCCAATTTCTTCATGATAAAAATAATTTAATTTTTAGCGTGAAAAAAAGGACCAAAAAAAAAATAATTCCATATAAACCCAATATGACCCACATATTGGAATTACCTGGACCCTATATAACCCTAGGATTCTCCTGGATATGTCCTGTTCAGAATACCTGAAATATACGGCTATATTGATATGAATTCCGTCCCTTTTATATAATATATTCATATGTTCTGGAATATAATGACATATATTGTTATTCTTTTTATTATTGCATATTATTATATCTGGCCCCTATACGACCCTAGGATTCTCCTGGAGAATCTCCAAAAATTATATTAATTTCAAATATAAAAAACGAATCGTGCCCTATTCCCAATATTTGAAATATATTATTATATTGATCTATAGATATATCCCATTTTTATTTAATATATTCAGATATTCCGGAATATATTGATATATATTATTGTTCTCCCTACTATTGGATATTATTGCAAAACCTGGAATCTAAATGACCCTAAAATTTTCCTGGATATACCCTGCCCCCCCAATATCTGACATAAATGGGTATATTGATATCTAGTATCCCCCCTTTCATATAATATATTTATATATTTTAAAATATATTTATATATTTTGGGGTATATTAATATATATTATTATTGTTTTTTATTATCGAATATTATTGAAATATATTGGAATTACCTAGAAGCTATACGAGCCTAGGATTCTCCTGCATGAGCCCTGCCCCCAATATCTGGAATATATGGCTACATTGATGGAAATCCCCCCCCTTTTATTCAATATATTCTCATATTCTGGGGTATCTTGGCATAAATTAACATTCTCCCTATTATTGTATATTATTGTAATACCTGGAATCTATACGACCTAGGATTCTTCTGAATATATCCTGTTCCCAATTATTGATAAATAGATACCTCCCCATTTCATACAATATATTTATGCTCTGGGATAAATTGGCATATATTACCATTCTTCCTATTATTGGATATTATTGAAATATATTGGATACCCCTGGAACCTATTTAATCCTAGAATATTCCTATAAAAATCGCCCCCGATCTCTTTAGATAATATATTAATTTTTTAAAATAAAAAATAATGCAAAAATATATATTTCAAAATAAAAAAACACTAGAAATTTATATAAACAAAAATTAATATACCTCACCTTTTTCATATATTTTAAAAAATAAATTAATTAATTAAATTATTTAATATATATAATTATTATTATTTTAAATTATATTTTATTTAAAATAATAAATATATATATAATTATATAATAATATATAAAATATAATTATATAATAATATATATAATAATTAATAATATTAATAATTATATTTTGGTTGCAGGTTATGGGAGGCTTCTGTCAAGTAGCATTAGGGGTATTAGCGTATATTAGCGTTTATTAGCGTATATTAAGGTAAATAAATTATATTATTTCTTGGTCAAATGTTAAATTAAATATTCTATTTCCTTGTTTATTTCGGGAGAAGGTGCTGACAGGTGATTTTGTAGAGAAAAGGGGTTTACAGAATACAAATCCATCCAGGAGAGTGGCTCCAAATGCACTACAAAATACAAGTCTAGGGAATCCAAAATGGCTGCCCACTACAAAATACAAAACAAAGATCATTAAAAACCATCAAATAAGGGCTGTCTACAAAATAGATTGGAAAACAATTGCCCCTTCCAAGGCTTGAAAGTGCCCAAAACAGGCTTTGTGGGGTATATTCAGACTTGTATTTTGTAGAGAATCCACCCTGAAGTATTTTGGGTTTGGCAAAGCTCAGTTGTGTTTCATAGATTTTATGTCAGCATTTCGTAGATTTTATTCCAGTCATTATCCCCTTTGGTGGTTTTGGATAGATAGGGCAATTCAGGCATCAACATTCCTTGAATTGGACAATCCATCCTTTGGGGGGTCATTACAATCCCAAAAATTATCATAACCCCAAAAATATTGTCGCGGATTAGATAGGGAGGTTCCCGATTCAACCAATCCTTATATAATATCCAGCAACCAAGCAATCTAATCCGCTGGGGGGTTTCCTAAACCGATTTAATCAAATGGGGGTGTGCTTTGAAGTTGCTACGCACGGAGCGGTTCGCTCCCCCCAATTGACCAAATCAATTAATAATAAATATTCTATAATATTAATATATGTATATACAGATATATATAGAAATTAAATATGTATCTTTGTATGCATATAAATCCATGATGCGCAATGCAATGCAATTGGCTTTTCGATATTGTTTTTCCAGCGCAGCTGCCACATCTAGTTATTACCTAGGCCAAACAAATCTTCCGCCAATTTATTGTTCTTGGCAATCTCAGCTTTCGCATCGTTCCCTTTGGGAATCTCTGCTTCGGAATCTTTCTTTTTGGGAACCGCTTCTTTAAGCGTAACACTGCTTTTCTGGACATCCTTTTCTTCGCCCTGAGCAGGGCCACTTAGGATTTCAACACGGAGTTTGGAACTCAGAACTTTCACGATTCTTCCCTCACGTTGGTCGTATTTTTCCTTGTGTTTGTTTGCTGAAATCACAACCACTTGGTCGATCTGAAAATCTGGAACAGCAGGCTTCTGATCTGGCTTTTCGCCAGCTGCGTTTTGTGTCTCAGCGATCTCTGTTTTCTTATCCTTTTGAGTGTCTTTTTCTGCGATTTCATGGTTTTTTTTGCTGTCCGGAGGAGGCAGCAAAATATTGGATTTAGCAAGCAGGGCTGTCAGGATGGGAAAATCCGCTTGCTTCTCAGATGGCACTTTGCGAACGGAGGCAGCAATGACTTTCAAACAGCCTCCCGTGGAATGCAGATAGGGCACATCAAAAAAAGAAATATCAAAACCATAGTGTGGATATTGGCCCAGCTACAATATATAAATTGATATTTAAATATCTTGAGGTAAAGAAAAACACATATATTTTGGGTCACGCACGCATTCGCAAATAATTACCTATTACAATACCACCTACAATAACAACGGCAAAAACAAAAACAATAATAAAAAAAGACGACAACAACAACAGCAACAACAACAACCACAACAGCTACCATCACCACCAACAACAACAACCAACACCACCACCACCACCACCACCAACAACAACAACGGCAGCAGCAACAATAAACACAAAACAAGAACAAGCTAGGACGTGAACCCTTCGCACGCACCCGAGAGTTGGGACACCACCCCAACCCCGGACGTGGAATAAGTCCACGCACCCTAGCAACAACAACAACGACAACAAGAAGAACAACAAGAACAACAAGAACAAAAACGGCAACAACAACAGTAACAGCAAAAGCAACAGCAACAATAAAAACAAAACAAAAACCAGCTAGGACGTGAACCCTTCGCACGCACCCGAGAGTTGGGACACCACCCCAACCCCGGACGTGGAATAAGTTCACGCACCCCAGCAGCAACAACAACAACAACAGCAACAGCAACAGTAACAGCAACCGCAACAGCAACAGCAACAATAAAACCAAAACAAAAACAAGCTAGAACGCGAACCCTCCGCACGGAAGCCATTCCAACCATGCGGCCTCTTTGCTGACCTTCTGTCAAGTCCGCTAAGTTAATTTCCTCCGAGATGTGCGATAAACCAAACTTGTATTTCACGAGCTCCAAGAAAATCGCTTCTGCCACCACGGGCGCCACATCCTGAAGACATGGTTTGCAACTCTGCTTGTACACACACAAATTCGGAAAATGTCAAAAGCCCTTAGAAAGCTACCGCTTGGCTTCACAGGACAGAAAAAACGGTTGTGGACTGACCGCAGCCCGCCAGTCCTTGAGCTTCAACCAATCCTTCAGCAAACCTTTCACCTGTGTGTTGGGGATGCTATCGATGGCGCTCGTTGCCAGGGATACGGCTTGGAGAAAAGTCTTCATGTCGAGCTCTGGCAGCTTCGCTCCAAAAAAGTGCTCCAGCAGCAACCTTGGATCTGAGGACCCAAACCAATTTCGCAAGAATCCAAAATTCTCCTGCGACCCCAGCAAGAAGGTCAGCTTCTCGGCGTCGTCGATGGGGGAAAGCATGGTGACAGCAAATTCGAGTGATTTTTTTTGAGCTTCACTCAAAATATGCTTCAGCAAATCTCGAACCACAACCAGGCGAGCTTCAGGCTCGGTACCATGGTCTGCAGCAACTGCTTTCAACCTGTGCGACAATCTCTCGGAGGTAAACTGGTTGTACAATTTGGACTTGAACAGTGTGTACTGCTGGCTCATGGTTAAGCCACTCACAACAACGTCTTGGTCATCTTCCACACGGCATTTTCCTAGCTGGATGACAGCGGCAGCCAAAGGAGGCACAAGATTCTCATTGATTTTCTGCAAAGACTCCAAGTGCTGGACGAAAATTGCCAAATCCTCTAAGGTCTCAGTGCCGAGGAGACTCTTCACGGTGAAGGCCACATAGCTTCTGAGAAAGCTGGGCGGTCCTTCATTGCACTTGACCATGAACTTCTCACAGTAGGTACGGAAATGACGTAGCCAAAACTCTGCAAATTCTGGAGAGGTGCGGTCTTTGGAACAAAATTTCCCAGCATCAAAGGCCTGCAGGCCAGAAACAAAAAATAAAGGACAACGTTGCGTTGTTCCAGGTGGAAGTATCTTATGTCTTATATACTCACCTCCAGACCATGTGAAAATTGCAAACCACAACGAGCTTTCAACGTTCATCGAAACAAGCACAGCCACCCGCCTCTTTGGTTGCTTTAGCAATGCGCTCGAAACTTTCCTCCTCTGTCTCCGACACATGCTCTTGCAGAACACGGGGCTTTTTTGCAGGAGGCCCAGGAGGGCCCTGAGAATCTGCTTCATCCTTTCCCTGGGTCATGTCTTTGTCTGGCAAGGCTTGGGATGACGCGGGCATTGACCCTGCACCTTCAAAGAGCCCATGTTTGACCTTGCTCATGTTTCCAAAGGATGATTCCAGTTCAAAGACACCTCGACCCAGCTTCTCCCGCGGAACCGCTTGATCAAAGGCCCAAATGGTCTGCGGGTCGATGTCAATGGGTAGACTGGTGAGTGACTCTGGAGGCACAGAAAATTTCACAAATTCAGGCGGAATGGTTGGGAAGTTCTGACGAGGAACCAACCAAACCTGCTTCGAATCATGGTGCTGGCCACAGCCATGGTCTTCTGAGATTTCATCTGTGCGAGAGACACCCGACCGGATGGGCTCAGTTTCTTCAAGGCCAGGTACAAGCGAATGTTGTTCTCTGTGACGTCGATTGTTGGATCATTCTTCTTAAAGTCTGTAAGGGATCTCACCGCCCGAGACCTTTCCGCTCCTTCCGGAGTCACATCTTTCAGGGCTGCCTGAATCTCCGCCTCGGAGAATCGGTGAGCCATGCTGCGGATCAAGCAGACCCACAGTGGACCTATTCTAAGATTTGTTTTCTGCAGCTTTGCCAAAACCCTGCGCAAGCAAGGAAGTTGCTGGAAAACAGGCAAAGACGGCTCGACAAACAGTTCGCTTCGATCAGCTTTCCAAATATTTCTCAAAATTAGTTTGAGTATGTAACCTGGTCTTGCAAACAGTAGACCTGCACAAGGACATGCTCAGGCTTCTATGCGGGAGAAAATAAGTTGCGATGGCCCTCACAAGCCAAGTGCGATTGTCAATCTTAGGACGTTATGCGACGTTAATATACGCTAATACACGCTAATGTAACGTTAATTGACCCTAAAACCAGAAAATAGCAACAGTAACGTCTATTACTGTGTATTAGCGTCAGATTAACGTATATTAACGTCGCTTAGCGTAGATTAAAATTGCTATCTGCGGCAGCTCTTTTCCCGAACAAGACAATCATCTCAAGCATTCTCAAGCTACGAATGCAGCTGGCAGCCACTGTTTGATCAACTTATCTGCCTTGACATTTCCGGTGCCATGACCCACTTTGCGCTGTAGCGCTCGGAGCTCTGTCTCAAACCAGCGGCGTCGGCTCAAATTTCCATCTAAAAAAGAATGAAATTGCACCCGCCATAACATCCATGCCTGAAGCACCATTTCTGAATTGCGAGGATTTTGGGGATCTGCATCATATTCGCCAATTTGTATGGTTTTGCTTTTGCTAGCAGTTCCAAGATAAGTGTCCGTAGCCCATTTCTCCGCTACCCGCGCCCTCAGTGATTTCGCAGCATGCTGAGCTGTAGAAGCAGCATAGTTACTGACACTAAAGTAAGGGTTGTGCGAAACAACAAAGGCACCTGTCGCAGCTCGCGCTGCAGGGGCAATTCGCTCCAGATTCGCACGGTCCGGCACCTCTGCAGCATCGTCATCACTGGAAGAGGAACTGACCGCTTCGCTTTCCACTGCATCTTCTGAACAGGATTCGTGTCCGGACAAAGCCCAGGATTCTAAATCGGAATCTTGCTTGTCTACTGAAATTTCATCTTCTTCATCTGATTCTTTTGCACACTCACCGGCACACGCGGTGATATTCACTTCTATTGCAGAAGAAACAAACAGAGTTGCTTCGGTCCGTGACACGTTCTCAACGGTCATTTCCAACGCAAACAACTTGACGTGTTCTTGATCAATGGAGAAACCCAAAGTAGTTACAAGATTCTCTATAGGCACCAAAGCTTCCGATAAAGGTTTGGTAATGTGCCAAGTAAACCGACGCCCAGAACATCCCTCCAACAAGACACCCCAAGGGCATCGATACATGCAGGCAGTAAAGAATACAATTTTGTCTGCGTCCGAAGTGCCAAGCTGGAGACAATGAAAACGAAAATGAGATTGTAGCAGTGCTCTGCGCCATGCAACTGTACGATTTCCAAAGGTGTTTGTGGCAGCCAGTCGCGAGACTGCCGGCATGGTGTCCTGATGAATCTGAAAATTATGTTGCAATCACAAGCAAAGCACCAAAGCAAGGAAGGGACTACGATGCCACAAAACCGGTCACAAACAAAAAAAGGATCCAAGTAAATTCAAGTAGCATTCTCACAAACCAGTCGCCGGGATAGCTCTCTCCTAGTCTCAGTGGCAGAACGCAAAATTTCATGAAAATATGCTTCATTAGCTTCCACCCAGCGCAACCATTCAGCATTTGACATTGGCAAACGCGATGCCTCCAAGGAGGTAAGGCCTCGTTTAGCCGCTTGACGTCGTTGAGCAGCCTCTTCTTGCAAGGACGCTTTGTTCTCCTGTAAATACTGTTGCAGCGCCTCAGAGTTCCCCTGGTGCACAATTGTTTTCGCTTGCTGTTTTGCGACTCCTTGCTGCCAATGCAGGATTCCACGTGGGCGAGGGAGCCATTCTGGATGTCTGGCAACCGCAATAGACCTGGCATTGGCAAACCGATCCTTGGCAAAGCGTTTCTTCACTTTCAACTGCTCCAATCGCACTTCAGATCTTTGTAGGCGATATTTCCGGATCAAGGAATTACGCGAACAACGACTCAGAGAGGCGACCTTACCGGAACTGTTTTCTGGACGTTTATCTTGCCAATGTTTTCTTTCTACATCCAAGTTGTTCACCAAAGCCGTTTCCAGGATGCGGTCCAGTTCTGATTGCACTGCGGGACTCAAAAGAAACCGAACTTGTTGCTCCAATGCACCTTGTTCCAAAGCTTCTGCCTGCAGAGCGGCACTGTACCCCACATCTAGACAAGTGTCCGGCAGGGAAACGAAATCCACAATTGCTGCCCGAAAAGACAGCGGGTTGTACTTTTTCGATAATGTCCATAGCCGCGCAGGAAACAAATCAAAAATTTGAAACCGAAGCAAGATTTCAGCAGCTGTGACCATTAAAGCAACAAATGTAGAAGTAATAGAAATTTTGCTGTCCAAATGTAACAAAGGCAAAATGGCCATTAAATCTTCCGAGCATTTCTTCTGGATTTCGCCCTGGGCCAGGCGAATCAATAATGGCTTGCTCCCAGGCTTGTTCTTTTGGGAGCAAATGTGCACAACGTGGCTTGTTAAGCGAAGGCACAGGACAGCTCGCCTCAAGTTCGCCGGCGTGGAGGGGGAAAGGAAAAAACAACGGATCCGATGCAGTCTCTTGGCATTGTCCTCCTGTGGTCTGACACCATGCACCTGCATCCATATATCTGGCAATAGCTTCATGAGGTCCATTGCTAGCAAGGTGTTGACACAAGATGTAAACAGAAAAAACCGTGTGACAACAGGCCGCTCTTCTACCACCAAAATACGTTTGCAAAGTACATCGAAAGTACGTTGAAAGCCGTGTTCCGGCGTTTCGTTGTCTTCACAGACATGTTCCAGCTTTGAAACACACACATTGAGAACATCTTGCATATCCGGAGAAATAACACCAGTACCATATAATTGCACAAGCGTAGATGTTTCTGAAGAAGCAGCTGCTCGTTCCGCAGCTTCCGCCTTCGTCAAAATAGTCAAATTGTCAGTCAGGTATTTCAGCAAATTTCGCCGGAATTCTCCATGGTATTGATCTATAACGTACCGAAACAAACGAATGCAACAACCAACTAAAGGATTGTCTGACGGATTGCGGCAACTCTCCTGGCAAATGGCCTTGGCTACGCATAAGTTTGCTTGGTGAGCACAGCACTCGAAAGAGAGCAATGCGTAGCTGATTTTACCATGTTGGTACTTTTGCATGGCTTTGAACACTCTCTTAGCAGCCGCCTCATTGACGGGTGCTCCGTCAGCTACTAGAATATGAACAAGCCTTAACTTCTGCATAGGTCCGCCGTGCTGCTCCAGGCCTCCCAAAAGATGCCGAAGAATATCAATTACTGTGGTCAAAAGACACTGAGCAATAGTCGCGGCATTCTTTCGTGCCAAACCGAAGAGCTCGACGGCGCAATCCAAAACTTGTGACGCCGTATGCAAAGTAACTACTTGGTTTTGCACGCTTGTATATCTTGATCTAGCTCCGCGAAGCTCTTGATCTGGCAAAAAAGAACGCACTCGCATAATGCACTCATCATGCACCTGGACGAGGACAAAGGATTCTGTGTGTGCGACGCCAGCTCTGTTAACCTTTGCAGACATGTTCGCCATGAGTTTCAAATTTTCATTGTTGAAATATTTCAAAAGTTCAACACAGCAGTCACGAGCCCTTGTCACGCTAGTCCGGCTCATTTGTGCTGACATCGTGGGATGCTCCTCTGGTGGAAAGTCACGAATAAATGAACTAAAACTTTCGGCCACAATACCAGGATCTGCTAGGCCCACCCGAATCCACCACAACGCCGTTATCCTCAACCCCTGTCGCGGCTTGAAAGTCTCTCTGTCAATCTTTGCTCTGCTTCGCGTCTCTTCCGCTTTACATATTGCAATTTTCCAAGCAGCTGAGCATATGTTTCAGTATCTTTGGACATAACCGTTTTCATGTCCAGCTCAGAATCCGAATTTTCCAAAAATGTTTCAACCAGTTGTGCGACTGTAGCATTTTGCGCCTTCAGGCACTCATTGTAAAAGGAGGACGCAACGGAAAAAACATGAGCTGCCGAACGCTGAAGTGACATGTGTCCTAGAAATGCTGGTAGTAGCTCCGGTTGGGAGAAATTTTGGGCTTTTCAAATGACCAGGTTTTATTCTACCGATTTCATTGTGATATTCTTGGTGAACCAAAGCCTCACTTACATCAACTGTGGAATTTCAATTGGAAATTGTTGGCTCCAAATTGATAGTCCCAACTTCTGAATCTTCACATGTTTCGCCTGGATTCCAATGGAATTCTTGCATTTTGAATCAACCCGTCCGAGGCTTCAATTCCAAACCTTGAACCTTTAGCGACTCAAAGCAACTGTAAAATCACTCTGATCTAGTGGCTGATCAGCCACACGAATCCATTTGAAACATGTGACCAAAACATCTGACCGTACGCCAACTCATGCCAAGATTGGCTCAAAACCAACCAGTGACTCAAAACCAATTGAACACGTGACTTCAACCACAAATAAACCAGTGATCCGTGACTTGAAAACTGCGCGTGAAACCGACCTGCCATCCAATTCCTTGCAAGAGTAACTCCGACTAGTTGAGGTTAGCTTTCGTGACATGAATATGAATGGATGTGAATATGGATATGAACGCGCAGCGTAGACAATACAGGCGTGTCTTGTGTTCAAGGCTCCCAATAGATGCAATTGAAGGTAAATAAATAGGTAAATAAATAGGTAAATAAATAGGGAAATAAATATGGAAATAAATAAGGAAATAAATAGGGAAATAAATAGGGAAATAAATAGGGAAATAAATAGGGAAATAAATAGGGAAATAAATAGGGAAATAAATAGGGTAATAAATAGGGGAATAAATAGGGGAATAAATAGGGAAATAAATAGGTAAATAAATAGGGAAACAAATAGGGAAATAAATAGGGAAATAAATATGGAAATAAATAGGAAATAAATATGGAAATAAATTAAATAGGGAAATAAATAGGGAAATAAATAGGGAAATAAATAGGGAAATAAATAGGGAAATAAATAGGGAAATAAATAGGGAAATAAATAGGTGAATAAATAGGGAATAAATAGGGAAATAAATAGGGAAATAAATAGGAACATAAATAGGGAAATAAATATGGAAATAAACAGGGAAATAAATAGGGAAATAAATAGGGAAATAAATAGGGAAATAAATAGGGAAATAAATAGGGACATAAATAGGGAAATAAATATGGCGCCGACCCGCTTTTCCAATGGCCAGGCACGGATCTATGTCTAATGTGCGCACCAGCAAGACGCACGGGCATCACAGATTCAAAAATGATTGCCCGAACGCCACAGAGAGAGATTAAAAGGATTCAGGGATGGGATGCGAAGCTTATTTGGGGGGGAACACTCGAGCATGGATGCCACGGCCATTTCCAATCTGGTCTTTGCCAACCTCAGCGAAGCAGGGAATTATGGCGCCGACCCGCTTTTCCAATGGCCAGGCACGGATCTATGTCTAATGTGCGCACCAGCAAGACGCACGGGCATCACAGATTCAAAAATGATTGCCCGAACGCCGAGAAGTCAATGGACACAGTTGCGAACATGAATCCCATTGCAGTTTCTGGCACCATTAGAAACCAAGCAGTTTCATCATGGGCCGAGACAAACTTTCCAACATGGCACTATGGAAAACAGTAGCAATACGATTGCACAACTTTTTGGGGTAAGGCTGGGCAAGTAGGGTAAGGAACTGACCATACTGTTGACCGCATAGCTGCACATGGGGTTTGTTGGTGTGGCTGCAAATCCCTTTATGACTTGTACACAGGCGAGGCACCAAACTGAAGTCGATGTGGCAAGTGAGCACCTTGGTGCGTTTGCGCCATGGTGTGCCATCTTGACAATAATCGGTGACATGCAGGTGAACATCAGGATACGATTGTATTTGTTGCGCAGGGCGAATCAACCACAACCTACTGGCTGAAGGATTTTCAATGGCAGCGGGAATGCACAGCTGATGACAAAGCCTAAAAATCCGAAAAGAGAATCTTGCCAGATTGTTACCAAGACGGACCCTTTCTTTATCTTTGAGTGACAAACCGCTGAGACCCCAAAGCTGTTCATCTGACCTTAGTGGGGGAGGCCCCTGACCATCATTGCGTCGGGCAAGTGACCAGCTGGTGCATGGGGTGCCCATCCACACTGCAGCAATCTTGTCAAGCTTAATCAACAAAACAAGGAAGTTCTGGAGAGCACGTTTTGACAAGTCATGCTGAGGGTCAGTTTCAATGTCAATCTCAACAACCTGAAAAGTTCGATGTGATCTGTGGCGGATTGCTTTGCTCAATCGGCCAGACCCGGAGAAAAGCTCAAGGAAGATGCTGCGTTTGGGAGCTTTGAGCATCCAACGCAACGGGCCAAAGTACTGGGCAGCTGCTTTTCTGCCTTGAGGGCTGCTTTTTGCTGCACTGCACTGAGGCTGCCAAAGACCTGGGAGAGCCTCCCACCCTGCTCGTAGCGGCGGAGACTGCTGAGGCTCTTCCAACGGCCGCGCTTCATCAACTCTTCGACCGACCTCTGTTGAGTGAGCCGGTCTGTTGATGCTGAACCATGCCTGATCTGGTACACACACTGGATTCCATGTGGATGAAAACCACATGCGTCTGCAGCCAGATGCCAATGCTTGGTCACATGGGCCATGTCGAAATCGAACACGCTCTGGCTTGAGCTCGCCTTGCTCTTCAAATGTTTTAGAACCACCCCCAACCACTGCATGTAAGGATGGTCTATCATCACTGCCTCGTCCAGCTCGTGTGTCTTTGAGGGTTGTGACTTGCCTTCGATTGGAGAGCTCTCTGAAAGGATCACTGACCACCTCCTGCTGACTTGGTTTGGAGCCACCAGCTGGCGGTACTTCAACTTCGGGGATTCTCCGGGGCGGCAACACAGGCTCCAAGTGAGGGCAAGGTGCACCCCCACCATTGGCTGGTTGAGCTGGCTGACAATGTGCATGATCATCTGGGCAAGCATTGGATACGGAATTGGCACTCTGGCCTGGGGTGGTGCAAGACGACGAAAGGATCGGAGAGCCCTGCTGCATCTGACCAGGGCATTCAAGCGAGGGACATCTGTTCTCATGTGCTTGATTGCTGCCATCATGGTCATTGCCCCGGACACCCCTTCCCCTTCGAAGAACAAGACATCCATCCACCAAGCTGCTGCCGCATCCACCTGCTCCAATGTGCTCATTGGATACTTCTGTTGTTTGGCAAAATGCGTGAGTCTTTCCCAAGCCACTTCGTATGATTTCATGCGGGGTATCGTGATAGTCTTTTCTTCCAAGAATGTTCTGGTGTGAATGTCCTTGGGAGCTGGGAGGCGTTGATTCCCATGCTGGGCTATCCGGTTTGCAGCTTTGGTCACTTTCTGCTGCTTCCGGTTCCCGCCAGCCTGCAATCTCAGCCCGTCGGCGGGCACAGCACTCCCAGTTTTTTCCACCATTCCGGCACCCGGCATAGAACGCTGCCGCTTGCCGTCGCCATGAATGGCGTGATTCACGGCACGCTTCAGCATTTACAAGCTCATCAATGTTATCCCAAATGTTATAATCACCTAAAATCTTATTTCGGGAAGGTTTATCGGCAGGATTGAGCTCCGAAGGGCACCAGCGATAGAACAAGTGAAAATCACAAGCAAGAGACAAGGCTGCAATCTGTCGACAGATCCTATTCATGCCACTACTGCTACCCCTACCTTTAGTCAAAGCAAGGACACATGACATGGAATCTGACAACAACAAATACCTACACCCATGATTGCGACTACTCCTGGCCAGGTGCTGGACTGCCCAGACCAAAGCCCGACCTTCGAGGATGACAATGTGTTCATGCCGAATCCATGGACGGCTTTCCACACGGGTCCAAGGACCGGCCAAGAATTCAACATCAAGCTCTGGCACCGGCAAAGATTTTAAGTTATCACTATTGGGAGGTGCATCATCCGAACAAGGATCGTCATTATTGGTGAGTGCATGGATTAAAGGGTCTAGGTCGTGGCTGCTCAAGACTAGTGACTCTTGCTCCCTAGTAAATCGCCACCGGTCTTGAACACGAGCCTGGGCTCTGACCCTCTCTCAACTGAACTCTTCAACTTGGCTACCCCACGGCCCCAGTGTGACGCATCAGTCGCGAGCACCTCAGAGGACCATGGGGCTGCCATGTTTCGACAAACCAATGGAAGCAATGAACAAGCCCATTTCAACTCACGCACAACTTGTGGCCAAATTCTACTATGGACATGATAGCACTTCTTTATATACACATATGTGGCTTGGAAGCATGACAACAGCTCACGGCGAAGCAACGATGCAAAAGTGAGGTGACCTACAATCTTTTCAAGCAACTTTCCCGTCGCCCACCCTTGAGAGAGGAGCTCAACAACTGCCAATCTCAGTTTCCAAAGACGACGAGGAGTCATGGTTACTTCGGCGCTGTTATCGCCAAACTTCCAACCAAGAGTTTCACCCCCAACCCCTTCCTCAACAGCATGAGTGGGCAAGCCTCGTTCACTGAGACTTCGCTCAACTTCACGAGCTGAAGCTCCGGCTGCACCAGGGACCTGAGAAATGGCGACGTAATTATCGACATATTCAGTATGGATGAGGGGCCTAAGTGCGGGGATAGGGGCGCCATCATCAAATCTCAAGCTAGAAGGGATTGATTCAATTGTGTTGACAACATGTTCATGACACTGCTGGCAAACCCACAAGGCGTGGGTCCATCCCATGGGGACAACTCGGAACACTGGGTACACAACTTGCTGTCTGTGCACTGCTCTGCCCTGGACTTCAGAAATGCCTGCTTGATCGGCAGTGAGAGGTGCCAATCCAAATAAGTCTCTAAACTCATGTGGGAGCTCGATGCCATAGAATGCATCCGCTATATCTATGCCAGCAAGCTCAATGGGACCTGCGTTATCTACTTCAATCTGGGCAAATGAACCACCAGTGGCAAGTTTAACAGGCAACGGGGAATCAAACCAACAGTTGGACCGGCGTGCGTCCACAACAAGCCGCTGTTTACCAGATTTCTTCCAAACCACAAACAGGCCGGCCTCTTCTCGAATGGACAGGCGGAAGTCGATCAGATTGGCATTGTGAAGACGACGAACGAACTGCTGATACTCAATTCCCCTTTTCCTAAGACAAGGATCATAGTAAGGTCTCTTAAGATTACTCCCCTTAAGCTTCGCATCCACATCGCAAGAATCTAAAATCTTACTACGCAAAATTCCCATTAAAATCTCAGCACCCTCACTGCCCAAAATGGATTCCAAAGAAGAAGGGGATCCAGCTGTGGGGGGCAATGACACAAGGTCAAAACGGAAATTGGCAAGGCTAGCTGGTTCTCCAGAATAGCCCATTGAGGCCCGGAGCTCCGACAAGGCTCCCTGACCGGAAACATCACTTGGCGGCTTCCCAAGTTTCAAAACCGACTCGCGAATCCTATCCAAACACCTACGCTGAGCAAGGTTCGGCTTGCAAGCCGGATCAAAATCAGCCATCAATTCTTCACCTAAATACATGCTATTGAGAGAAGAAACAATATCGTTCACCCAATCATCGACCCTATCCCTCTGCTTCACACGTCGGGAACAGGCCCTTGAAAGATTCTGTACATCAACGGACTCACTCTTCAGAACGGGCAAAGGGAAAACACCGCGCTGACGATCCAGTCCTTGCATAGGACGCCCCAAGAGGCGCTGAGGTGGTGAGCGTCCATTGCACCCACCAGGATGCTTCCCGTTGCTCATTTTGACGCAGCGGCCCGCTCCTCACGGGCCTTGCGGACTTGTTTCATAATGGAAGCATCCTTTTCAATCTCTTTGGATACGTATTCCAAAAGATCCGGAGCGATCATCACATCGCCGTATTCGCGATGAGTTCCACTGAATACAGCAGCTTCTGCACGATACGACAAATCGTATGACTTCTTATCCTTGCTCCCCTTTCCACCAGCTTTGCCACCTCCAGGGCCCTTCTCTGACCAAAAATATTCAATCAGCTGAAGGCGTCTGAAAAGGAGCTCAACGCCAGCCAGGTTCGCAAGATCCAACCCGTCATACCGCCCTAAGCGATCCACAATCTTCATGAGGTTCTCATGCTCCGCCACTCCCCATGAATCTGCTTGCAGCCCATTCGTTGAAACCCACCACTTGTGGTGATCTGGAGGCCCACCACTTTTTCTGTTGAGATATTTCACACACCAGCCAGACGTCCTTGGTCCTGGAACTGTCCAGTCAGGAAGGTCCTCCTGCTTTGAATCTTTTGCCACATCTCTCCAAATCCTCTCATCACGAGAAAGGCCCTGAAATTCCAAGCCCAACAAACGCGCGTCTGCCGAAGCCTCTTTCCCAGGATACTTCTCCACCTCATCAGCCTGAAGGCGTCTAATGGCAGCCCATGTCCCATTGAAATTCTTCAGCCCGATATTGCCTTGGATGATCTCACTACCATCCAAACCAACTGTCTCACCACGCTGCCTGTTGCCCTCTGTCTCAATCACAACCCAAGTCACATTGCCGGGGGCAGCGTCACCCGCTACTGCCGCAGGGGCAGCCATGGGTGGCGCGGCCACCTGAGGCCCCGCTCCAGGAGGAAAGGCTAAGGCGGCTGCAGCGTGACGAGCATCCAGCCTCAATTGCTGCATGGCTGCCGCATCAGGCAGCTGACGGATGCGGTAAGAGATGGCATCTGTGAGGCCATGTGGAAGCTCGCCATTGTGGGAAACACGGAATCCAGTGATGTCATCGTTCTCCAAAGAAATAAGCTCGGGGTACATGTCCCCGTCTGGGGTCAAGATGATGTGCCAGCCACGTCCACAAGCACAAGTGGCCAGGATCAGCCTTTCATGCCACAAAATTGGAGGGGGAAGATCATAGCAAAGAAAAACTCGAGTCCCTTCTGACAAGGGCATGATCACTGCTTAGATGACTGCTTCTTCCGGAGGGCTTGCAATTGCTGCTGAGCAAGCACCTCCATTGGAATTGTATCAGTTGAGCTCTTGGTCGGGTTCACTTCAGTCTCAGCTCGCCCAAGGCTTGGGTCACTCACCGCGTGAGGCCTCTTCCACTGCCCCAAGCGATGAATCAACTGGCAGCCCTGGATGATACAACCCAGAATGATGCTGATCCCAATCTTAAGCAGCTCCCACCACCAACTAGACGCAGGGCAAGGCAACGCCTCGCACTCACAACGGCAAAGGCACTCGACCACCGGCGAAGGATTCCGGTCGAGCACCAAGCCCCATGCAGCGCCCCCCAGAAAGTCTAGCCACCTCATTGAACACTCGAGCATGGATGCCACGGCCATTTCCAATCTGGTCTTTGCCAACCTCAGCGAAGCAGGGAATTAGGGGAATAAATAGGGGAATAAATAGGGAAATAAATAGGGAAATAAATAGGGGAATAAATAGGGAAATAAATAGGGAAATAAATAGGGAAATAAATAGGGATATAAATAGGGAATAAATAGGGAATAAATATGGAATAAATAGGGGAAAAAATAGGGAAACAAGGGGGGGCCTGAGAACCCAAAAGCAAAACGACAGCAAACAAATTCGAGTAATAATTGGTTTATTTCCCTTTCGCCTCTTGCCAGCACCTTTTTGGAAGATGAATATTATGGGCGCATTCACTGCAAAATTCATTTTTTCAGCTTTACAGAGACTTTTACACACAGAGGACGTTTTACACAGAAGCAAGGTTTTGTTTTGTGCAAACGACTTCTCTGTGTCAAAGCCTCTGAGTCCAGCATGCTGTCTCGCTCCCTCCCAGCGAAGCTCTCCCCAAGCTATTTCCACGGTTTCCCCTCCGTCCAGCATGCTGTCTCGCTCCCTCCCGGCGAAGCTGTCCGCAAGCTATTTGCACCTCCCCTTCCTTCCTCCCTTTCTTCCTTCCTTCCTTCTCTTCCTCTTCCTCCCTTCCTTCCTTCCTCCCTTCCTTCCTTCCTTCCTCCCTTCCTTCCTTCCTCCCTTCCTTCTCTTCCTCTTCCTCCCTTCCTTTTCCTTTCTTCCTTCCTTCCTTCTTTCCTTCCTTCCCATCTCCGTCCAACACTACGTATCGCTCCCCCGCAGCAAACGAGAAACTAAACGAGAACCCAAGCATCGGAGATACTTTTGGGAAAAAACGGGTATCGTATCCTACAAAATTGCCAAGCCACTGCCGCATCTATACATCTGGTTATTTAACATAGCCATGGTTTCCATGGCCATAGAAATAGTGAGGGCCCCATTAAAAATAATGTTTTTCCATAATTTTTTTCCATGGTCAGGTTGGTTGGTCCTCACCTTTTTTCTTCTGAAGCCGGACCCGCCGAATCTTCGTTCTGGGGCAAAATCTTCGTTCTGAGCACGGTCATGCGACGGCGGCTGATTTCCAAATCAACCTCTCCTTTCCTTTCCCTTCCTTCCCTTCCTTTCCCGTCCTTTCCCTTCCTTTCCCTTCCTTTTCCGTCCTTTCCCTTCCTTTGCCTTTCTTTCCCTTTCTTTCCCTTCCTTTCCCTTTCTTTCCGTTCCTTTCCCGTCCTTTCCATTCCTTTCCCTTCCTTTCCCTTCCTGATTCCTGTCCCTTCCGTTCCCTTTCTTTCCCGAATGCGTAGCAAGGGTTCCCGTTGCCCAACCGTCCGCAACCACTCGCAACCGTCCGCGCGATTGCTATATGGCCGTGCCTCTGGTAAGTTCTCCAGAAGGGGTAATTTGTGCGTTTCGCGTGGCAGGCGTGGCACTTCGTGACATTCAGACGTGTTTTGTAACGTGTCGAAAGTCATTTTATGTGGCATGCGCAATACTTTTGCGACGTTTTCAGAAAATGCGTTGCAGTTTTCGTGGCAGGCGCAGCACTTTGGACGTGTCCATCGTCATTTTGCGTGGCAGGCGCAGCACTTTAGACGCGTCGTGTTGCGTGTTTTTACGAATCGCATTGGCAGGGCCGCGTCAAGTGGAGACAAGGTGCAAATTCCGTGGCAGACGTGGCATTTTGTGAGATGTGCTGAAAATTGACGGAAGCCTCCCACGAAACATCGATTTTGAGGTAGCAAATTTAAAGGCTCGTACGAAAACTCGTAGGAAAACGTCAGTTTTGAAGCTACAAAGTATGAAAATTGGAGGAAGTCTCGCACGAAAGGCTCGTTTTGATGCTCCCACATCTCTCGTCTCAAGTCTCTGGTTTTCCTGCGGCGTCGCCGTGTCTATGGGGGAAGCTGCAAAATCTCTCCTTTTCGAAGGTTTCCAAGCAGGTTGTCATGTCGTTTTGCGTGGCAGGGGTGGCACTTTACACTCTACACTCCGCACTCTACACTCCACACTGCACACTCTACACTCCACCACTCTCTACACTTTGCACACTCCTCACTCCACACTTTACACTCTACACGCCACATCATGGATGTTCGAACCACAACCCAGTCGAGCCACCCCCCAGTGTAGGAATTTTTGATGTTTTTATTTTTCATCTTATTAGCTGTTATTAGCTGCTATTAGCTGCTATTAGCTGCTATTTGTACCCCATCTTATTAAGCACTATTTGCTTCAATTAGTGCACGAATAAGAAACGATGATTTTTGGGCAAAAAAAATGACACAAATAAGGCCATATCATGTTTTTTAAGAAGAAAAAAATAAGGCAAAATAAGGCTTTCAAATAAGGCAAAATAAGGTCTTCAAATAAGGGGGTAAAAGGTGGTCATCAGATTTCAAAAAATATATAATTTATGTTTTTTTATAGAGTCCAAACATTACAAAAAACATGTTTGTTTTAATGTGTTATCTTTTATGATTAGAAAAAAATATAAACAATATTTTGCAAATTCGCGTAGTTGAAAAAAAAAACATGCTACACAAAATGCAACATAAAGGTTTTATTTTTACCATTCTCACATCAACCTTTCAAATCGCACATCGCTCATATATTTTTTCCAATTACTGAAGGTGGCTAGGGGGTAGCAGGAGCTGGGCTGGTGATTGAGGTGGAAGGGTATTGAGCTGGGAGTGGGGATGGTGGTGGTGCTGGGCCAGGCTAGGCCTAGTAATCCCTATTAGGCACTAATAAGCACTAATAGCTAATAGCTACCTGGTGTAAACCCAGGAGGTGTGGTCTGAGCTAACTAGCTGGTGGCTGGGGGAGCCTGTAGGGCTGGGCTGCTGGATTGGTGTGGGGTTGGGAGGTGGGCCAGGCTAGGCTTAGTAAGCACTATTAGGCACTAATAAGCACTAATAAGCTTTAATAAGTTCTTGGATTTGGACTATGAGGACTGGTGATAGGGCAGGGCTGGGCTGCTGGATTGGTGTGGGGACCCACTCCCAGCTCAGTACTCAACACTCCAGCCTCCCAATGCTGTGGTTGTGCCTGGCAGGAGGTAGCCAGCTCAGCTCAATTTATTAGTAGCTGGTAGTGCTTATTAATTCTTATTAATTCTTATTAGTTCTTATTCTCTTCCTAAGGAATTTGTGTTTATCTAATTTTTGGATCATTACTGTGAAAAACCTTAATAGTGACTATTAAGTGTTATTAGTAATTTTGCCCGTTTTTTTCTCCTGATTCGGATCTCGGGGATCATATCTCAGGCCGTGGCAACAGGAGACAACAGGGGAACACACAGCAGGAGAAAAGCAACAGGGAAAAAACAACAGGTGTTACAATGGAGAGACACAACAGGAGAACAACAAAAGGAAAATGATGCAAAAACAAAAATGTCACTTTTATGGTTTGTAAAGCAGAAAAAAATCCTTTTGTAAGATATGGAAATTTAAAGTGTATGGTTGTGCCTGGCAATAGCTAAACTTATTAGATCTTATGAGTTCATATTATTTTCCTAAGGAATATGTGTTCATCTAATCTTTTGGTCATTACTCTGAAAAACCTTAATAGTAACTATTAAGTGTTATTAGTAATTTTGCCCATTTTGCCCATTTTGGCTAAGGCCTGGCGTTTGAGATTCTTTGAAAACACAACAGGAGAACAGCAAAAGGAAAAAGATGCAAAAACAAAAATGTAATTTTTATGGTTTGTATACAGATTTATTTTTTCCACTTCACCAGCTCTAGCCATAAAGGCTTATCGTAATCATGATTAGTGCCTAATAACCTCTAATAGACTCTATGGCAATACCTGGGAGGTGGGACTGAGCTGGATTGGATTTGGCATTGGGTGGAAGAATACTTAGCATGGGAGTGCGAAGATGTTTGGGAGCTGGACCAGGCTCGGAAGAACAATATCTATTAGGCACTAATAAGCACTAATAAGCACTAATAAGCATTCAGAGCCTTTAGGGTCATGAGGTGGCTGTGCAAAACCACCAGGTGAAAGGGACTTGGCCAGGCTAGGTTTCTCAAGCCTGTTAGGCACTAATAAGCACTAATAGCTCCATGCTGTAAACCCAGAAAGTGGAGACTAGGCCAACTAGCTGGTGGCTGGGGAAGCCTGTAGGGCTGGGCTGCAGGATTGGTGTGGGTTGGGAGGTGGGCCAGGCTAGGCTTAGTAAGCACTATTAGGCACTAATAAGCACTAATAAGCTTTAATAAGTCCTAGGTGGCCCTCTCTCTCTCTCCCTCTCTCCTTTTTCTCCATCTCCCCCTCTCCCTCTCTCCCTCTCTCCCTCTCTCTCTTTTTCTCTCTCTCCCTCTTTCCCTCTCCCCTTCTAGGGAGAGGGGGAGAGAGGGGGAGAGAGGGGGAGAGGGAGGGGGAGAGGGGGAGAGGGGGAGAGGGAGAGAGGGAGAGAGGGAGAGAGGGGGAGAGGGAGAGAGGGAGAGAGAGAGAGAGGGAGAGAGGGAGAGAGAGAGGGATGGAGGGAGGGAGGGAGGGATGGAGGGAGAGGGAGCGAGGGAGAGAGGGAGACAGGGAGAGAGAGAGAGGGGGCTACCTCCCAGTCACCAGTCCCACTTCATAGTCCAAATCCAAGGACTTATTAAAGCTTATTAGTGCTTATTAGTGCCTAATAGTGCTTACTAAGCCTAGCCTGGCCCACCTCCCAACCCCACACCAATCCTGCAGCCCAGCCCTACAGGCTCCCCCAGCCACCAGCTAGTTGGCATAGTCTCCACTTTCTGGGTTTACAGCATGGAGCTATTAGTGCTTATTAGTGCCTAATAGGCTTGCTAAAGCTAGCCTGGCCAAGCCCTCCCGCCACTGTCCCACTCCCAGCTCAATACCCTTCTACCTCCCAGCCCTGAGGGAGAGAGGGAGAGAGGGAGGGAGGGAGAGGGA